CTGTGGCTCAAGTGGTAGAGCGCTAGCCTTGAGCTGAAGAGCTGAGGGACAGCGCCCAGGCCCAGAGTTCAGCTCCCATGACTGACCAAAAAAAAAAAAAAAATTCAGCAGGACATGACAAGTATCAGACTTCAAAAGTCATCTTAAACACTAGATTGTCCTGTCTCAAGTATAAATGTTACCAGAAATTTAGAGCAACTAAGTTGATCTAGGTCCTTGTATCTAGCAAGGGAAAAAGTCAGTCAAGACTTGAACATAGGGCTGGGAATGTGGCTTAGCGGTAGAATGCTTGCCTAACATGTATGAAGCACTGGGTTTGATTTCTCAGAACCACATACACAGATAAAGCCAGAAGTGTTGCTATGGCTAAAGTGGTAGAGTGCTAGCCTTGAGTAAAAGAAAAGACCTGAATATAGTAGACATACTAGGAAAGTTTATGAGAAAGTATGGCAATGAAAATAGTAATGTGGGGCTGGGAAGGTGGCTCAGTGGTAGAGCGCTTGCCTTGCATGCCTGAGGCCCTGGGTTCGATTCCTCAGCACCATATAAGCAAAAAGAAAAAAGCCAGAGGTGGCGCTGTGGCTCAAGTGGTAGAGCGCTATCCTTGAGCTGAAGAGTTGAGGGACAGCGCCCAGGCCCAGAGTTCAGGCCCCACGACTGGACCCCCCCCCAAAAAAAGAAAATAGTAATGTGTCAGTGGGGCTCTGGTGGCTCATGCTTGTAATCCTAGCTATTCAGGAGACTGAGCTCTGAGGATCGTGATTCAAAGCCAATGCAGGCAGGAAAGTCCGTGAAACTCTTTCTTAGGTTTTGTTTGGGTTGTCGAGAAGAGAACACCACAGAGTAGTTAGGCAGCAGAGAGAACTTTATTCCAAACTGCTGCTGGTCATGCACGATGGAGACCCCCTTGGCAGACGGGCTGGGGCAACAGTCAGACTAGGGCTTACCTAGGGAAGGGTCAGAGAGAAGGTGTGGCCAGGTGTGGAAAGGAAGGTGTGGCCACACTGGAAGTGTATGTGACCTCAGAGCCTGGCACCCTCCCACAGTCCGGTGTGAGGCCTGATGGGCAGTCCAGGATGTAACCTCAGAGAAGAGGGAGGTGACTGCCAGTTACTTAGGTAACATAGGTCCTAGGTAGAGACTTATGCAAGAGCGGGCAAGTGTTCAAACCCCAGGACTGGCAAAAAAAAAAAAAAAAGTTATGTGGCATAGACAAGCCTTTGGAAGATAGCACTTCAGACTACCTTGGCCCTCTTGTGTTGTCTTCTTTTTTTTTTTTGTCGGTCATGGGGCTTGAACTCTGGGCCTGGGCGCTGTCCCTCAGCTCTTCAGCTCAAGGCTCTACCACTTGAGCTACAGCGCCACTTCCGGTTTTCTGGTGGTTTATTGGAGATAGGAGTCTCACAGTCCTTCCTGACCGGGCTGTCTTTGAACTGCGATCCTCAGATCTCAGCCTCCTGAGTAGCTAGGATTACAGGCGTGAGCCACCAGCGCCCGGCTTGTGTTGTCTTCTTATTACAGAATTTGGCCTTAAGTTAAAATGGGGAGGATTGAAGTCTTTGAAGATGGCTTTCTAGATGGAGGCTCTTATTTCTGTTTCTTTCTCTTTTTTTTTTGTCCTGGGTTGGTATTCTTTTTTGTATTTTTTTAAACTGTAAAAATACTGTACAAAGGGGTTACAGTTACATACATGAGCAAGGTGATGAGTACATTTCCTATGGAGCATTGTTGCCTCCTCTTTTGTTTTACCCCATCCCTTCCCTCCCACCTCGACAATTACCTCCCCCCCCAACCAAAGTTATAAAGTTTGTTTTCAACATAGTGTCTTGTACATCTCATTGTTACAATGGGTCCTGTATCCCTACTTAAGCATTTTGTTTTTTCCCTTCCCCACCCTGAATTAGAGAAGTGTATATACAAGATGCAGAGCATGGGAATCAAACACAGTGAAAACAGGGGTTATACTATGGGGGAGGAACACATAAAGAAACAAAAAAGTATGTCCCTCCCCCACAGTATAACCCCTGCTTTCACTATATTTGATGTCAGTATAACTTAATAAAAAAAAAACAAAAAAATCACATGGTACATTATAAATACGTTAGAAACAATAGCAAGAAAAAATATTTGTGTCCGTATCTTGGGGTTCATTTTGCTTAACATCATCTTATATGGTCATATGTACATAGCTTTTGACCTTTTCTACTTGTCCAACACATATACTAGTTGTTGCAAATAAAGGAAACCATGGGACCTATGTTTCTTTGGGTCTGGCTTACTTCACTTAATATAATTTTTTCCGAGTCTTTTCCATTTCCTAACAAATGGGGAAATGTCATTCTTTCTGATGGAGGCATAGAATTCCATTGTATATATACGCCACATTTTCTTGATCCATTCATCGGCTGATGGGCATCTGGGTTGGTTCCATATCTTAGCTATAGTAAATAATGCTGCAATAAATATTGTTGTGCTGGTAGCTTTAATATGGCCTTGTTTATGTTCGTTTGGGTAAATGCCCAAAAGTGGGATTTCTGGGTCATAGGGGAGCTCTATGTGGAATCTTTTTTTTTTTTTTTGGGTCCAGTCGTGGGGCCTGAACTCTGGGCCTGAGCGCTGTCCCTCAGCAGTTCAGCTCAAAGCTAGCGCTCTACCACTTGAGCCACAGCGCCACTTCTGACTTTTTTTCTTTTTTGCTTATGTGGTGCTGAGGAATCGAACCAAGGGCCTCAGGCATGCAAGGCAAGAGCTCTACTACAGAGCCAACTTCCCAGCCCCCTCTATGTGGAATCTTTTGAGGAACCTCCAGACTGCTTTCCAAAGTGGTTGACCAACTTTACACTCCCACCAACCATGCAGTAGGGTTCTCTTCTGGTCACATCCCCTCCAGCATGTGTTGTTATTAGAGTTCTTGATTATAGCCATTCTAACTGGGTGATGTTTCTTATAAAGTCCAATAAGTCCAAGTCAGTAAAAGACATACTTAATCTCTTAAGTTCCATGCTAACACACAACTTGCCAGAAAGTTTAGGGTAACTAAATAAACTTGGTCTCTGTTTCTGGTAAGAGAAAAATTCAGGCCAAACATAAACACAGTAAAGGTGATAGGGAATTTTATTAGAAAAGAAAATATGGCAGAGAAAGATCATGTGGCATAGATATACCACAGGGAAAATGGTACTTTAGTGAATGTCTGCACTCTGGTGACATCTTCTTTGTTGCAGAGCTTGGCCTTTCTGCTCCTGTAAGCTTGTGATGCCAAATATTTACTCTCTCACCCTTAAGACCTTGTTTTTTTGTCTTTTTTACTTTCTCATTCTTTTCTAAGGCCCTACTCACATTTTGTTATCAGGCAGTTTATTCTGTCTTCTACAGGTTGAATAGACCAAAATTCTCCGACTGCCTGCTTTTTCTTCTAACGCATTATCATGAACATCATTTATTGTATGTCAGAAAAATCTGTGAAGTACTTCAAGAAAATCTCTTGCTTGGTTCTCTTTATATTTCCATAACAATTTGCATTTATTTATTGATGCATTCATTCTGTTTAAGCCCATTATTTACAATTATTTATGTGACTTTAGTTATTGTTTTGTTTTGTTTTTGTCCAAGGCTGCCACTTGAGCTGCAGTTTCACTTCTGGATTTTTGCTGATTAAGTGGAGATAAGAATCTCAAAGACTTTCTTGCCAGAGGTGGCTTTGCACTGCAACCTTCAGATCTCAGCCTCAGGGATTATAGGTGTGAGCCACCAGCGTCTGATCCACTTTTTATATTTTTAAAGCTCCTAGGGTGGTACATTTTATGCAGCAGTCCATTTTAACTTGGCTCCAGGGGATTGAGGATTAACCCCCAACCTCATTAAGACTTTCTTTCCAAGAATTGTATACAAGGGATTAGCTCAAGCTCTCGCTTTCCAGTTCTGGCATGCACTTTATGGTTTCTTGCTTTCTTCCCTCTGCCTCTCTAGTCCTCTCCTCCCAGCTAGGATGGGCGCCCCGCGGTCCCGAGGTTTCAGGGTCCCCTGCTCCTGTTTTCATAAACAGCTCTACAAGGGACAGGTGGACCTGTCCAGGTGGGCGGGGATGCTCTGGGCCTCAGCGTGCTGTGCCCGCAGGAGGTCGCCATCTTGAATTCTGGCACGGGCGCTGCTGCCCTTACTCCAGATGGCGTCTGCTTATGGGCGTGGCCAGTGACGGCGGCTCGGAGGACGCGCGGGGCCATGGCGGCGGCGGCGGCGGCGGACGACGATCTGTGCTGGGAGATCGGAGAAGAGGAGGCGGAGGAGGAGGACGAAGAGGAGGAGGAGGAAGAGGACGACGACGACGTAGAGGAGGAGGTAGCATCGCGTGGAGCCCGCGCCGGGGTCGCGGCGGGGTGGTGCGGGGCGGGGGCGGAGGGAGTGGAGGATGGGCCTGCACGGCCGTGGCCCGCGCGCGGGGCCGTCCGCGCTCGGTCTCCGGGGCCCGCCGCGGTGAGGATGGAGGCGTCGGGGGAGGAGGCTTCCTGCGGCTGAACCTGGACGCGGTTTCCCCGAGTGGGGCTGGGGCTGGGGATGGGGCTGGGGATGGGGCTGGGCGGGTAACGCAGCGGGTTTGGGCTTTTCCCGCTCGCGTCTTCGGTGCTGGCAGCGCAGGCGGCAGGTTAATCCTCCTTTCTTCCACCAGGAGCAGTACGTGTTGGTGGAATTAACAGGAATTATTGATTCAGACTTTCTCTCCAAATGCGAAAAGAAATGCAAGATTTTGGTGAGTCTTCTAGAACTGGGGAGTTGGCGGGGATTTTTTTTTTAGGTTAGAACATGAATGGTGATATGCTTGTCTGCTAGCACATCCACTTTACAAAGCGGTGAACGTATTATTAGCATACTTTAGTCCTGAGGGTTCCACACATGGATTCAGGGTATCAACCACTTTGCCTCTATAGCTCTACCCTGTTCCACGCCCCCTTCATTTTTCCATTCCTTTCATTGTGTATGAATTGCACCACCATTGGTACACTCTAGCTCTTGTTGAGAACAGTACAAGTCATTATGCCAGAAAAAAGGAACTTTACAACTTTGGTGGGGGGGGGGAGGATGGGAAGGGATGGGAAGGGGAAACAAAGGAGGAAACTACAATGCTTGATAAGAAATGTACTCATTATCTTGCTCATGTAATTGTAATCACTTTGTACAGTATTTTCACAATAAATAAAAATAATAAAGAGGGGCTGGGAAGTAGCTCATTAGTAGAGCGCTTGCCTTGCATGCATGAGGCCCTGGGTTCGAGTCCTCTGCACCACATAAGCAGAAAAAGCTGGAAGTGGCTCAAGTGGTAGAGTGCTAGCCTGGAGCTGAAGAGCTGAGGGACAGCACCCAGGCCCTGAGTTCAGGCCACTTGACCAGCACAAAATAAATAAATAAAAATAAAAAAGAAAAGGGAAATAGCCAGGCAGCTGTGGCTGTGCCTGTAAGCCTAGCTACTCCGGAGGCTGAGATCTGAGGAACATGGTTTGAAGCCACACCTTGATCATGAAATCCTGTGAGGCTCTCTTCTCCCAATTAACTATTAAAAGAGTTCAAGCCCCCAGGCCAGCACAAAAGGAAAAAACAAAGAAGTAAACATAAGAGAGTGACTATGCGACTGAATAAATGACCTTGGTCTAGTCTATAACTTCATCATTTTCTCACTTCAGGCTCTACAAAGAACAAAAGAACTTGTTACCTCTGGTCAACACTTGGGGGAGCTTCTAGGAGATGACTGCGCCTGCTCAAGCGTGCAAACTCAGTTCCCATTGTGGGAAGTTAGCCACCCTCACCTCACTTGATTGGTGATCTGTCTTTTGAGGCTGGCTATTGCTTAGTGACAATGGTGTGTGTGTGTGTGTGTGTGTACGTGTGTGTGTATGCGTGCGCACGCTGTATTTTACTAGGGATTGGATGCAAGTGACAATGGTGTGTGTGTGTGTGTGCGCGCGCGCCTGTGTGTTTTACTAGGGATTGGATTTAAGACCTTGAGCTAGCACTCTGCTCTGTTCCTTGAGCCATGCCCCTAGCCCTATAATGATTTTGTGGGAGTGCATGTGCACAAACAATCATGTGGGTCCTGAAGCTTGAACTCAGGGCCTAAGTCCTGGGGCCTTGACCTGTTTTTCCCTGGAGGTTAGCACTCTACCACTTGAGCCATGGTTCCATGTCTGTCTTATTTTGGGTAATTAATCAGCGATGTGTATCATGGATTTTTCCTGCCAAGGCTGGCTTCACACCATGGTTCTCAGATCTTAGCCTCTGAGTAGCTAGGATTATAGGTAGGAACCACTGGTGCCCAGGCTATGATTTTTTTTTTTAATCTAATGACCCTTTATTCTGTGGTAGGGAATTGACACTGAGAGGCCCATTCTGCAAGTGGACAGCTATGTCTTTGCTGGGGAATATGAAGGTAGGTAGATAAAACTCCCTTTTTTGGTTGGTGGGTGGAGGGTGGTCCTGGGGCTAGAACTCAGGGCCTGGGTGCTGTTCCTGAGCTATTTTGCTTGAGCCACATCTCCACTTCTGGATTTTTGGTGGTTAATTGGAGATCAGTGTCTCACAGAGTTTTCTGCATGGGCTGGCTTTGAACTGTGATCCTCAAATTTCAACCTCCTAGGTAGATAGGATTGCAGATTACAAAACTGGACCCACTGGTAAGAAAAACTTTTCTATGTCATGGGGCTTGAACTCAGCGCCTGGGCACTGTCCCTGAGCTTTTGAGCTCAAGGCTACTGTTCTACCACTTTGAGTCCACTTCCAGTTTTCTGGTGGTTAATTGGATATAAAAGCCTCACCAGGGGCTTAGTGGTGTGGCTTAGTGGTAGAGTGCTAGCCTAGCATTCATGAAGGACTGGGTTCAATTCTTCAGTACCACATAAACAGAAAAAGCCAGAAGTGGCTCTGTGGCTCAAGTGGTGGAATGCTAGCCTTGAGCAAACAGCTCAGGAGCAATATCCAGGCCCTGAGTTCAGGCCCTTGGACTGGCAAAAAAAAAAAAAAAAAGCCTCACCAATTTTCCTGTCAGGGTGGCTTCAAATTGTGATCCTCAGACCTCAACTTTCTGAGTAGTTAGGATTACAGGTGTGAGCCACTAGTGCCTGGCTCCTTTTATATATATGTATATATGTATGTGTGTGTGTGTGTATATATATATATATATATATATATATTTTGGTCGGCTGTGGGGCTTGAACTCTGGGC